TTTTTTTTTTTTTTTTTTTTTTTTTTTTTTTTTTTTTTCAGGTCCGCGTTCAGCCCAAACGGCCGAACGCATCCCCAAGGGGTCCCATACGTTCGGGCGTTCGGCCCGTCCCGAAAGTCGGTTACCCTGGTCACATATATATATCGTCAAATAGAACTGCCCGGTAAACCGTAGGCAGAGAGGGAGAAGAGGACAACAAATGAGGGGCTGTGACAAACTGTTTCGTCGGAGTTTCACCGACTCATCAGGAGGCTGTTATGTTTGATGATATATATACATATATCGTCAAACAGAGACATATATATTGTCACATAACTATGAACTAAATATATATATATTATATACATATATCGTGAAATAGAGCTGACCGGTAAACCATCGGCAGAGAGGGAGAAGCGGGCAACAAACGAGGGGCTGTGACAATCTGTTTTGTTGGAGTTTCACCGACTCATAGTGCCTCACAGCACCACTCACCTAATGTGAAGAAAAGACAAAAATTTAACGGAAGTATCTTTCCACATCCTAGCGGGAGATACATTCACATTTTGCACGCCTGGTGATTGGTGCAGCGAGGCCCATACAGTCGCCACCAATCTAACGAAAGGATACACTCGCTACCATTTATCACACCACATTTGGGGCCTGGTTGCACCACTCACAATCTGCCAACAGTCTGCATGCATCTGGACGAGAAAGATGTCCAGATGCATCCCGAATCCGGGCGGATGGCCAGTGGTGGAATTAGGCCCTTAGTGGTGAGTCGCATGCACTACGTCCCTATACACATCTTCAACGGCTTTCAACAGCCAAACATATTAAGTTATTAACCCCCGCATGCACTACGTCCCTATACAGATCTTCGACGGCTTTCAACAGCCAAACATATTAAGTTATTAACCCCCCCCCCCCCCCCCCCCACCACCAAAAAAAAAAACACTTTGTTCCCCAGCCATTTTCCTACCACGCGGCTGCTGCATGCATGCCATGTCTGGCGGAATGAACCCGCGTGCTTCGCTATTAATACATCCAGGGCCTCCAGGCCGATCGTGTCCCATGCAAGGCCCGTTTTGCCTGGACGTACTTTTCGACAAGTGACAGCCCCGTTTGCATGTCCCATGCAGACCCGTCGTCGAAAAATGGCTGGACAACGTACTGGTTGCTTACTCCTCTGACGAATGCCGTGCGGCTTCTGTCAAACCGTACGGGTAAGAACCCAAGGGTCCAGCTTCAGTTGGTACACCCATGATTTGTTGAAATACACACCTGCGCTGTTGAGCTGAAATGCCAACTGCCCTACCTTGAACGTGCACAATATTTGGAAAAAAAAAAAAAAAGGAAAAAGAAAAAAAGAAATACACGAGAGTTCGGATCTAGATGCAACTAGAACAGCCATTTAAACCACCACCACTACCTCTAGAGGGGAAGGCGAAGTCATGAATATAACCTGTACCGCCGTCTTCCAAGGCCGGGCGCTTCCGGACCAAAATGACTGCCGGCGCCAGGGGAAACAAAAGAAAAAAAGTTGCGCTGGCCCTTCTGCAAAGCTTGGCAGCACACAAAAAAAAAAAAAAAAGAAACAAAAAAGAAGCTTGGCAGCACAGTTGTACTACACCTCCGCAAAAGAGGCTCCGCGGTAATGATGGTGTAAAAGAATAAAATAAAATAAAAAACTGGTGTAAAAGAATAAAATAAAATAAAAAACTGGTGTAAAAGAATAAAATAAAATAAAATAACTACCAGTAGGTGATTTTCTTCTACCCTAGGAGACTGGGACCAATTCCCAGCACGTGTTAGCTCCCCGCAACCGGAGCCTTTTTCAAAAAAGAAAAAAAATAAGCGGGGTAGCAACTTAACAACTAGGACGATTGTCATGCCCGGCCGGGGGGGTTCGAGGCATGCCAAAAACGAAACTGGGCATGCCAAAAAAATAGAGGGGTAACTGGGCATGCCAAAAAAAAAAAAAAAAAAAAAAAAAAATCATTCTTTTGCGAGGCATAAGGCCCCGATGGGCCCCTTTTCACCCTGTTAGCAGCGCAGTCGCCCGCCCTATGTGAAGGCAGGCCCGACCAAGGCCACGAGGCCTATTTTTCAGCTACCACGCAACTGGGTAAATTCAGGCCGTTGCGCAGCGCCTGTTGGTTGAGAGCGCCCAGGCCCTGGCTGCCTTTTTCCGTACGTAAGGGCCAGATACACAACCAACATGGCCCGAGTCAGGCACAGACTGCGGGCAGTTGGGCACAGGCAACTGTCACAGGCCCTCGGCCTCTAGGGCCCTACCGGAAGCTTCTGGGCAGGGGCCCAGCACAGCCAGGCCACACGCAGCAGGCAGGCCACTTCCATTTAGGAAAGTGCCTGCCCTCGCATTTAGCATTCAGGCCCTGGCTGCACACTGCGCAAGCGCTGCTGCGCTATTCGCTGGCCAGGCCCACACGCTCACAGGCGAGCTGGATGAGCAGGCAGCCGTAGCCGAGCTGCGCTGCACTATGCTGGATGGGGCGCATGGTGGTCCTTGGGTGCACGTGGCATCTGTGAGTGGGGGATCGAGGTTGTGAGTGATACGAGAGACATACCTGGTGCTTTAGGCGAACAGCATTGGCCGAGATCTGCTCGTACTTCGGGAAGCTGTTGACGTCAGCGGCATTGTAGATAGGCTAGATAGGATCTGCCATTTGTAGTCTGGGCGCAGAGCGCCAGATAGGAAGTCGACATTGGTCCTTTGTTGATGATGATGAGACTATTCAAACATCGTCCCGTATGAGCTTTTGCTGTGCTCTTATTTGGTGGAACTCGTGTTGCAAGTCTGCTTTTGGTTCTAGGTCACGACTATCTGGTTACAGGTGTATGATGATGATGCCTGGTTTCTGGAATTCGCTCATTTTCCTTGCACTTTTTGGTTTTCTGCGCTCTCCCAGAGGACCCCAAATCCGGGCTCTTTTCTTTTTTCGAGAGTTGGCTGTCAAGGGGGGGGGGGGGGATGAGGGTATAACTTGGTTTTAAAGGGGCTAAAGGGGTTTAAAGGGGGTTGCCTTAGTGTGATTCTGCTATTTTCTTTTTTATCTCCGATTCTGTGAGGACTTCTGATGTGACCCTCAGCCAAAAGACGTTTGTATTACAATTCTACACACCATTTTTTTTTCCCGGATTTTTTTGAAACTCTTCTTTTTTTTTCTTCTTTTTTTTTTGTGCTGGGGGTCATGCCCTACCGGGCACCTGGGTGTGTATCTGGCCACAAGTTGGGTGCCCAGGGGGCCCGGAAAAACAGCCTAGCTCAAACCACCAGTACCTACCACATTTTTTGTACCCCCCGGACTCGAATGAATTTGGATCGGAGGGGCAGGCCGATTCGGCTTCCGCACTCACGGCCGCCCCATCCGGTAGGTACTGGTGGTTTGACAAGCAAAATAAAACCAAACAAAACCGAGTAAACGAAGCCAAATAAACCGACAAACTAAAATTAAAAAAAAAAAAAACTTTACCTAGTTAGTAGGAACAGCTTGTGCACATCTATTTCATGCTGCAGTCGGCGCTGATCGAGTCCGGGGAACAGTCTTGATTTGAATGGAATTTTTCCCAGCCACTGCTGCCAAAAGCACACACCAAAAAATAATAAGGCTCTGGCGGTAATTGCAGTCAGATGCATCCAACGAAATTCCTCTATCCACTACTTCGTAAAGTCTGTTCTTTTCAAAAAAAAAAAAAAAAAAAAAAAAAAAAAAAAAAAAAGTCTGTTCTCATGTTTGCTATACACAACTCCCCACAAAAACAAAAGTACGACTGCAATTTGAATTATTTAAAAAAAATAAAAACGTGTGTTTGTAAAGAAAGAAAAGAAAGGAACAAAAAAAAACAAAAGCATGACTGTGCCACACCGTTTCGTAGGACGTCCACCAACTCATCAGGAGGTTGAATGAACCTAGACAGACAGTCTGCCCAGGATACATTTGATTTGACTGATGGATAAGCACTCACCCCACCAAAAAGTGTACTTTTTTTGTGCGTGTGGAAATGCAACATGAGCGGAGCCACTTCCAAACACACAAATAAAGGTCTGTTTTTTTATTTTTTATTTTTTTGTAATATTTCTTGATTTACGCGTGTCCGCCATTTCTGTCCCTGGTTTCCACCCCCTACGCCTGCACCTATATAAGCCAGACCTTTATTTATTTGTGTACAAATAAAGGTAAAAGTCCCAGATCAGGGGCGAGGTCCACTAGCGACATGGATTGGATTGAACGACTGAATCTAGACGTGTTCCTGGAAAAGTGCAGAAATTCGAGATTGAACAGCTTTTCTGCATCTCTGCCTAAAGCACGTCCAGATTCAGGAGCTAAATCCAATCCTCTTTGCTAATGGGACCATGCTCCAGATGTTCCGGGTTGTTTGTTGACGATGCCCGGCCTCCCTTTCGGTGTGAGCAATCAAATGAGCTGAGTCTTTCTATATTAAAAAAGAAAAAGAAAAAAAAATGAGAGAGAGAAAAAGGATATGGGAAAAAAAAATCACGGAGAAGGAATCACCAAGAATGGGCCTCATTGCACAAATTAACATTCAAAATGTCTCGGGCCTTGTATGTGGTCCAGGTTCATTCACAATGTGCGCTCGGGCACTAAACAACCAACGTTCCAAACGTATCTGGATCTTTGTTTGGTCCAGGTTCATTCACAATGTGCGCTCGGGCACTATATATATATCGTCAAATAGAACTGCCCGGTAACCCGTAGGCAGAGAGGGAGAAGAGGACAACAAACGAGGGGCTGTGATATATGTATATATATATGAGTCGGTGAAACTCCGACGAAACAGTTTGTCACAGCCCCTCGTTTGTTGTCCTTTTCTCTCTCTCTGCCTACGGTTTTACCGGGCAGTTCTGTTTGTGACGATATATATATATATATCGTCACAAATTTATCAGAGCGCAAATGCGAAAAAAAGAAGAAATAAATTCGTTTTTTTATCTTCTTCCTTACAAGACTCCCCCTGTTCAGAACCTCTTGCGTACAAGGCCGCCCACGTGGATGTAGGTTGAGCGGCGGCTGCCCCCACCCCCGTGTGTCATATCGACCCACTTGCACACAGCCAAAAGGCAAAGAGGCAAAGAAAAGAGGAAAGAAACAGCCAAATATAACAAAACAGGGGGCAACAAGCTCCTGGATGACAAGCAAAACAACATAAAATAGCGATAGTAATACTAGGTGTACTATTTTATTTGCTGTTATATCAACCATATAATCAAACGTACAGGAAAATAACGATATATATTGTCACACTGTGATTCAGATATGTTCTATATTGCTTGCTTCTGGAAAAGGGGTTAAGAAGAAGAGAGGAGGATTGAGGACCAGTACTTCTCCTCCCTTTTAAAAACAATAGAGAGAGAGAGAAGTTGCTTTCTTTGGGGCTCAGAAAATAACATCGCCACTTGCGGAGGCACGACGGAGTCCCTCATTATACAACTCGGGGAAAAAAAAAAAAAAAAATACAGAAAGAGAAAGGGCACGGGGAAGGGGGGGGGGGGGGAACTCAAGAAAGCATACACCCCCCCCCGCACACACAAAACAGAAAAAAAGAGAAAGATCGGATTTCAAGCTCGGATACGATCATACCATATTACGACTCGGTTAATGCGATCATTAATTTAATAATTTATTATTGACGACTGGATTAATGCGATAACTAATTTATTAGATTATTATATCATATCTTACTTCCATATTACTGTATTTATGACTGGATTAATCTGATTATAATAATAATATTAATAATGATGAATAATGATGATGATGATGATGACGACGACGACGACGATGATGATGATGATGACGAGTTAATCTCCGATGACGATGATGATGATGATGATGATGATGATGATGATGATGATGAGCGCATCTCCAAATGATTCTACTTTTTCGGTGATTGGCTCAGCATTATCATCATCGTCGTCGTCGTTGTCATCATCATCATCATCATCATCATCGTTATTATTTTATTATTAGTAGTTGTAGTAAAGCCATGCATGGATATTGATTAAAATCCGACCATGGATGAGTAAATGATTGATATCCAACCATCAATGATTGATATGCTAATCAAGCCGCCAAGAGAGGTAATTACCTAAAAAGGAATGAACAGAGGAAGAAGGCGAGGAAGAGGGATAGGCGCACAGGAAGCCGCACGGAGACAAACATAAAACTGAAAAAGAGAGACAAAAAGAAAAAGAGAAAACATAAACTGAAAAAGAGAGACAAAAAGAAAAAGAGAAAAAGAGAGCGACAGAAAGAGGAGGGAGGGGGAGCGGGGCGAGAAAGACAGACAGACAAACAGTCAGAGAAACAGGGTAAGAGAGAGAGAGAGGGAGAGAGGAGAGAGAACCGAGAGAGAAGAGAGAGGGGGACAGGAGGGAGGAGGAGGAGGGGAGGGAGGGTAAAGGAGAGAGAAACGTAGAAAGGATATACGTAAATACGGTAAATAGTAATACTAAATTTGCTGTTAATAATTAAGAAATAGTAAATACTAAATTTGCTGTTAATTAAAACATAAGAGCCCCCAGAATGTCTTGTCCTCCGAACATCCGTTAAAATTGGAACCATACAGAGAAGGAAAAAGATTATTATTATTATTAGTATTAGCATGGCCCCTGCGCAATGAAGGATGACACGCATAAATCAAGAAATGGTACAATTCTTTATATTTAAAAAAAAAAAAGAGACCCGAGAATGTCTTCGGCCTGCAGATGCACCCCGCCCGTGTATTTTCATTCATTGTAATCTGCTCCCTTCTCCCTTTTCTTGGCCTTTTGTATTTTGTTTTTTTGTTTTTGCTTTTTGTCTTTTTGCTTCTTTTCCTGTTTTTTTTTTCCTTTTTTCTTTTTGCCTTTCGTTTTTTTTTTTGTTTGTTTTCGTATACGAAAAGGAAACGACCTTGTTCGTTGATTAGAGTGAGTGGGTGAGTGAGTGAGTGAGGAAGGGAGTGAGGGAGGGAGGGAGGGAGGGAGCGATTAAGTGATTGAGCCACTAAGTGATAGATTGATTGATTGATTGAGTGAGTGAGTGAGTGAGTGAGTGAGTGAGTGAGTGAGTGAGTGATTGAGTGATTGATTAAACAGAATATGGTTGAGATCCATCCAATCTACGGGGACATTTCTTAGGGCATGCTCACATTGAACTTCTGCGTCGGACCGTAATTGAGGTCCGATACATCCAGGCAACGTCCAAGCGCGAGTCTGCCGTTCTCGTGGTCGCTGGGCACGTGCAGACAGTCAAACATGATCCGGATCGGGATACCATGCTCCACGTGTCAGCACACTCTTAAGAGTCATCACAAAGCCCGAAAGCACACAAAATGCTGGGAAATCTCACACAAGATCTCTCTCGGTTTCTCTCTTTTTTCTCTCCCTTTTCTCTCTCGTACTCTCTCTTTTCTCTCTTTAACCCGAAAGCACGACGTACTTGTAATTTGGAAAGGGAGGGAGGAGGGGGGGGGGGGAAGAAGTGCTTTGTCGTAGCCGTTCAGTCCTTTTTCTCTCTGTATCCTCTCTTTCCGTACTCTTTCCCTCTCTTTTCCTCTCTTTTCTGCCTTTTTCTCTCTTTTCTCCCTTTTTCTCTCTTTTCTCTCTCTCGTTCTTCTTTTTTCTCTCTTTTCTCTCTTTTTCTTTCTTTTCTCTCTTTCCTCTCTTTTTTCATATCGTACGTTATCCATATCGGAACACATACCTTACGGAGAGAGGAGGCCGCCATCGCTGTCGTTGTGTAGGAGCCCTCCTGAGACAGAGCCACGTCATCCCCTCTCTATCATGCCTTCCTTCCTCTCTGCCTCTCGCAGTGCTACTGCGCGCCAAACTGCGCATCCAAGCCGCCGGATTTCTCTCTGCGCTTCCCCACCCACCAAGTTTCACTGCGCGCCATCACCCATGCCCATTTCCCGCCAAGACCAGGCGCAAGACAGTGCGCGACAGGAGCTGCGACCAAGCACGTGCGCCACAGTGGCTGAAGTTGCCGATCGCGACCGAGTTGCTGGCCCTTCGGTTCATAAAAAAGAGAAAATTGCATCTGTACCCCACGTAAAGGATGGGAATACCCCCTATACCCAGTCCCAACGCCCAACTTGCATCTATACCCGGACCCCGTTCACCAGGGAGTTGTACCCGACTTTTCTGCTGTCCGAAATTGCAGGCATACCCCGTCCCGCAGGCCCTCAGTTCCCGGCAACGAAATTATGCCCATGCCCAGAAACGGGCTGGCAAAATTGCGGCTGTACCCATAGCCAGGAGCTGGCCTTGGATGGCACACCATAAAATTATGCTCATGCCCACCACGTGGACCGTTGTGGCCCAGCGGCTGCTGGGTATGAGCATAATTTAACCTATCCGGTAGTATGGGGTATATGAATAATTTGGCCAGTCCACCTCATATTCTGGGTATGCCCATAAATAAGTTTGCCTGGGTATGTCCATAATCTGTGCAGCTCCCGCATGTTCCCTCGTTGGACGCTTGGATGTGGCTGCTACGGGTTCCCCGTAATACTATAATGACAATAAAAACGGCCTGAAAGGCCGTCCTGTCCAGATTTGACAGGCAATTGAATTGGTTGGCCACTAGTACCTTTCCCGTGTGGGAAAATAGGGAAAACTGGCAGTTTTCCCAAACTCCTGAATATTCGGAGGTTGGGCCCGACGACGACTGCCACTGATAAATCTGATCGGCCGTCATTTCGTTTCGGCCGTCATTTCGTTTTGGCCTGAATATTCGGAGGCCTGAATATTCGGGCCGCCATCATTTCGTTTCGGCCGTCATTTTGTTTCGGCCTCTGAAAAGGTCGGATGCCTACCCGAGGCCTGCTATTTTCCCACACGGCAAAGGTACTAGTACCTTTCCCACGTGGGGAAATAGGGAAAATTGGCAGTTTTCCCAAACTCCTGAATATTCTGAGGTCGGGCCCGACGACGACTGCCACTGATAAATCTGATCGGCGACCGTCATTTCGTTTCGGCCTCTGAAAAGGTCGGACGCCTACCCGAGGCCCGCTACATTCCCACGAGGCAAAAAAAAAAAAAAAAAAAAAAAAAAAAAAAAATTCCGGTAGTTGGTTATAAGTTTATAACTGCAATTTTGCGGTACCAACCTGGGTCCACCTCAGTCCTCAGCATGCAAATAATATCCTCCGACAGTTTTCCAGGTATAGGTGCAAGTTGGTGTTGGGACTGCTTATAGGGGGTATTCCCATCTTTAAGTAGGGTACAAATGCGATTTTCCCTATAATCTACATCTACATACTACTAAAGGAAAAGCCGGGTCTCACGTGACGCCGGCATGAGACCCGATTTCCAGGTTTGGGACCTCGGGTGGTGGGCCCAAGGCAGGGCAAAAAAAAAAAAAAAAGTGTGACTGTCGGCCTCATGAACAGGCGGGGCCTGAGGAGGCCTGGCGACCGTCTTGCCGCCATCGGGTCCGGTCTGTTGCCCGTCCGCTGTCGAGAGAGATCCGTCTTTGTGCCCTCAAGTTGTCGCGCCTTCACCCCCACTCGCTCGCGGGCTTGCCATTTGTGTGTGTGTGTGTGTGTGTGTGAGTGTGTGTGTGTGTGTATGTGTATGTGTGTGTGTGTGTGTGTGTTTGTGTGTGTGTGTGTGAGAGAGAGAGAGAAAACTTGTAAGTCTCCAATCTTGCCGCTGGCCTCATGTTACTTTCACCGAGAGGAGCAAAATTGAATGAATCTCCCGCTAGAACATGGAAATAT